CCACGCCCCGCATCGAAAGTATCCTCGTTTCTAGCTCAGTGCCGTTGCAAGTTGGATGTCGCCTTAACCTCTGTTTCTGTTCAGCCTGTTCATGAGAGACTCGGTTCACAGCCGCCTGGGTGTAGCGGGAGAGCAACAGTGGTACGGTGCCGGGGTGCGGCAGGCTGCCGACGTGCGCCCCACCCGCGCCGCCCAAGACGTCAACACCGACGCCAAGCCCGCCATCACGCCCGCGGCCATGCGTGAGGCGGTCCGGCGAGCTGAGGCGGCAGCGCAGCGCGCGGCAAAGAACGAGGTGAAGGTAGCGACGGAGGCCGTGCGGGAGGCGGCCGAGGCACCGGTGAGTATTACTTCGTCCTCGTGCTTCTTTATCGTTTGATGTAACTTCTTGCTTAGTCTTTTTGTGCTAGGTCGTCGTAGTGAGGCCGGAGGCAAGGTCCCGCGGCCCCAAAATTAGGTTAGGTTAAGTTAGAGGCCCCCAAGATGGCGACCGCGACATTGTGTCACAAAATGGCCGACCGCGACAAAGTGTGACACTACTGAAAAGGATCAGATGTTCAAGATTCGTGCAGCGCTACAGAACCCTGTTTCAAGAAGACCCCAAGGATACTGCTACCACCCCTGACATCGAGACGGCCATAGCAACGGAGAACGCCATGCGCGCAATGCGCCCTAGCACGCCGGTCCCGGATACCCTCGAGATTCACCCATCACCCCGCGACTTGGCGACTCTGGAGGAGACTAAACCAACTGCACCCCTAAAACAAAGAAAGTAAGGACGGCCAGAAACCCGACGGCACCAAACCTTCAGAGCAGTACTAATGGAGAGGGTGCTGTGCCGCCCGGGACCCCGCCCCACCGCACTGTCCACGGTTCTGTGGCGGGCCTATGGGCGCGATCGCCACGAATTTGGCACCGACGGACTCGGCAAGGTGCAGGCCAACTGAAGGTGGATCTCCAATGGAGCAATCTGCGCTACCCATCACCCATCATCCGTCACCCATCACTTGATATTTCGTGTATTTACGCGTACAACTCGGGTTGTGGTGAAGACTAAGGATGTGTCTGAACAATTAATATGAATATACACCTTATGATTGTATTTCGCGATGTAAAAACACGAAATCGCAAGTGATGGGTGACGGATGATGGGTGATGGGTAGCGTAGATTGCTCCATTGGAGATCCACCTTGACTCACTTGTTCAAATTGAACACAACTCACTTGGGGGCCGCCAGGGGCGTCGAACTTGACTGCGACAGGCGTCGGCAGCAGGTGCCTCCGGACCTCGCTACCTGCGCCAGCGCCGCCAGCCCGGCCCTTTCCCGGGATTAGCTGCAG